ATCAATTGATCAAAATTTACGAAAACTTGCCGAAACCGCAGGATTTGCAGATATTTATACACAAGATTATAGCGGATATTTTAAAGACATTAAAGACTATATATATCTAAACGGTGAAAAATACAGACCACAAGATATTTCACCTATAAATATTTTTTAGCTTTGTTACTCTAAAAAATGAAATTCTCGATTTTCTAGGATGGCCCTATTACATCTTAGAAAAATTAACTGTCTTATACGCAATGTTTAACTTTATCGTTTAACGCAATGTTTAACTTTTTTCACTTTTAAAAGGAATCTATAACACATGCGCTATACACACACAAGTAAATAGACAAGCAAGTGTAGCAAGCATACTATTTGCAAGGTTTTTTGGAATTTTTTCTTCATCAATAAACAAAATTCTTCTAGACGCAGCACAAATAAAAGAATATAATACAAAAATAGCGACAAGACAGAACACGTACGACGAAGAACATAATAACATAGAAGTAACACCTACCGCACCACAGTTGCCACCCCTACCACATAACCATCCATTATCCTTAGTCCCACGTAATTTCCGAAACCTAGCAATAACACATAACCCAAATTTTTGACCAAATATATCACAAAGTCCCATACAACATATAATGACACATCATTCACAAGATGATAATACATATGAACAAATTATAGAACAACCTCATATCACCGCTTTTCAGTCTCAAAATAATCATTTTTTTAGTCCACGATGAGCCGACAACTTGGATCCCCACACCGCTCAAATTCCCACCCAACCAACCTCCACACTCCAATCCCAATAATCCCACTTTTTGCTTTCCCACCACCCGATTTCCCAACTTTTATTATATCATCAAGCACGAATTCGGATACTAACTCAGATATTTCAGTTTTATACTCCATCTCACAACTTAATAACTCTATTATAGAAACCCCTGACGAATTTGCAGACTCCGAACCATCTCCATCCAATAATTTTCAAACCAACTCCTCAGTTTTTTCAAAACCCCCTTTTCAACCAATCCCACTAAATAATTCACTCCCATCCGTTCCCTCTCCTTCTTATGCTTCGCAAGTAACCCCAACCTACTCTCCATTTCATTCCGACCGATCATCTAATAATTCTCCAGATACCCCCCAAACTTCCCAGGAACTCGATAATTTTATCACCCTACAGCAACAGTTAATACACCCTAACACCCTCACCATACATCAAATTTCATCCACAACAGAATCCTCAAACCCACCTACTCCTACACCCTCCTCAGCTTACACTGCATCATAAGCACAATCATCCACATCCACCGAAACATCGAATAGAACTCACCGAGCTTATCGCACTTTTAAAAGAAAATTCCCGAATCACCCATTCCCGACCAAACCCGGAACAGCCTGCGAATATATTAATCATCCACAACACACAAACACGAAAGATTTTCTAGCAATCACCTTACCCTCATTCCCACAATATACATTAAACACACCTAAGGACACTAACGACACACGTAGTTTTGTAGATGAACATGTTTTAATGCCCACACTTCACTGGACAGCATATTACCATTTTACTAATCCCCTTTTCCTGCCACTATCTAGTACTCATGACGATATAGAAAAGAAAAAAGATATGCTATATAGACTCACCGCAACACTAACACCTAGACAATTTACTTATATAGGATATAAAAAATTACTAAAAACATTCACTGCACCTCGTGCTAACGAATTTACAATATAATATTACGACCATAATATCATCCGAACTAGTCAAGACCAATTTCTAGATGACGACCGCTTCGCTAACCCACAACCAACAGAAAAATTTTTCATCAAAACGTCATATGTATTCACACTTAATATTTTTGATAGAAAATATGATCACATCATTTCTGAAGCACTAAATGATATTCAAGCTTACGAAAGTTTTAAAGACAAATTTCAGTTATTTTCACTAACCTTTCACTTCCTTGCACCACATGAACGCGATTTGCACTGTTCACACGACATTATGTTACGCACTAAACAGACTCATACATATACATACTATCGCTTCATACAAAATCATTTTGATTTACATACTCCATCAAGACAACCACACCATCGTTTTCAGTTTCTTAACTCGAAGTACACTTCATCATTTTTTCTTAATTTCACCTATTGCATCAAGGATACTAACCTCCACGGCATTCTCCGCAATTATGACCCAGTAACACAAATGTATATGACATTTTGTCCCATCACGAACGCCGAAGAATCCAGACCCTTCCTTATCCCACATGAATTTATCCAGCCTATAGAAATCCCATTATTAGAATTTGTTCACAATACTAAATATAATCACAAAATATATAACCTCATTCAAAACACACCTTATGAGTATGCAGTAGGCACCGAAGAACTAAAAACCATAAAAGCACTTCAATTGCTTTGGCCACTGCTTCAAACTAAAAACATCATTCGCATACTAGCAAAATTACTAGCAACATCGGACATGATACACGACATCTTCCCCCACGGCTTTTTCCCAGACGATTAACAGGTAAGTATAATTTAAAAATATTCTTAACTAATAAATTTAAATTAGTACTAACCATTCTTTACTCATGTTTCTTTTACATTTCTAGTCTTCATACCACGATCATCTGCAAAAAACAGAAAAGAAAAATAAAAAAAAAACTTGTTAAAATTCCTCTAAAACTTCAATAATATTTTGCACAAGACAAAATAATAAAATTCATACCAAATGTAGTAAATTAGTTTATAAATTGTTTCCCCATAAAGCAGTAAATTTAATTACGATGAAAATTTATAACTTTAAATTTCCCCCAACAAAAAGCAGTAAATTTGAAATTCTATGTAATAAATTGATAAAATGAAAATGCATTACTAACCTTTTGATATTTTCATTCACTCGCACAAGAATTCTATCCAAACTCGCACAGCTCGCCCACGAAGAATTGTTTAAATAATGATTTTAAGTTTCAAGTTTTCACCCTCAACAACTCTAATACACGATAACAAGTTTCGGTTCAAACTTTCCTTTAACCCGGTTGGAAAGGAATTATATACTAAACCAAACTAACCAACGCAGCTTACTAAACACCACAAATCATAAAATAACAGCATGACTAAGAAAAGAAAACCAACGGTACCCAAACCGGATTAACCCAGTTTAAAACTGGATAATTTATTCTTTTGAAGACTATTATAAAGTCTAAGAAAGAAATCATAAAACACAAAAAAGACGCAAGACAAACCCATACCAAAAACAATTTGATTTTTAAAAAAAGGACACAACCAAAGAAACATAAGAAAGACCAACATAAACCCAACATAAAACGTTATCACATAACAGGACCTCTCAAAGAAACCGCACGAAATCATACTCCCACTCCTGGCCTAACCCACCAGAGAGGACGTCCTGAGCATGCTCTATAGCCGGCCTAACCCACCGCGCTACATCCACGCTTTGTGACCACACTTCTATTTTTAATAAGAAGTACTCAAGGGTGAGTAACTCTTCAAAATAACCGAACTAAAACAAAAAAGTTTTTGTGAAAACAACTAACTAAATTCATGATTAAAAAACCGAACTAATAAAATTTTATAAAATGTAAATCATACCTTGCATTAAATAGATTGACACACAACAACAAAGACGAACATCCAAAGACAAAGTGACTCCATCACACTCGAACAAGAATGGCTAACCACAACCGATATGCCGTCCACAATCACAACTCAAAGGATTTAGAGTGCGACTTGACTTCGCAGAAAAGGACTTCATTGAACTAGACCAATGACCACCTCGATGTTCAAGTATACGTACAGATCCGAGTTACGAGGCATCCCTTTCACACACGATCTCCACGCCATTCCCAGACGAGGTTGAACACAAAACAAGTTCTCTACATAATACAGAAAAACCCGTCATAGCCAACCATTTTGAATTCAGATTGATTTCATTGGGGAACACAGTCGTTGTCACAAGACGACACAACGATTGATGTCCCTAACTCCAGCGTCCTGGAACTTCTTTAACAAGAGAAATCGGACAAGAATATGATGTTCGCCAAATACCAACGTTCATCGTCCATCCTTTGAATTGCAGAAAGATAATTCTAAAAACTTTGTAAAACCCGGATGGGTGGAACCTGATCTAAACTATATTTTATGATTGGATAAATTGGATATTTTACCACTGTAAAGTATTTAATATTAACCAATCATAATCCATCTAACTAACAACCCACTTATTTGTAAGTGCTGAAATTACTTGTAATTTCAGCAGCAGAGAGATTTGAATTTAACTTAGAAATTAGTTGCCTCTCCAAGAGAACTTCAGCAGCCGCAACAAACCAGTATACCCTAGATCTATTGAGCCTAGCAGAGACTAGTTAAACATCCTGAGACTAGAAAGTATAAGAGTAAGATTAGGATCGGTATTAGACTAAGAAGTTGCACGAATCTATCCGGCCGAAAATAAGATAGCGTGACGAGCAGACGGTGTACCCTATCCGAAATTACTCTATGGGTTAACCACATCGGTTCTAACTCAGATTGCCAATTTTGACAATTACCGCGCAATTTTTCCATACTATTAACGCGTAAGCGTAAATTTCATACGACTTAAGATTGTTCTAATTTGAATAGAAGCTTGTTATTTATACAAATCAGGCCTAATTGCATTGAAACATGCGACTTTATATAGTGCGTGGGGGATGACTTCCAAAAAATCTCATAAAAAAATCTTTTCATTCTTTGTTTTGAAAATTTCATCAATTTGATTCAAAGCCAACACTACCACATAGACCTTAAAACGCTGTTAGAACATTCAAGCGATCGCCCTGATACAAACAGTTTTGTTGTTTTTGAGCTCAATTTGGTTTTGCGTAACTTTTGTGCACTGCAGCCAAGTTTTTGGATGCAAATGGCGTTTTGAGCATTTATTGAGAAGAGAACATAGTGTTTGTACACTTCCTTTCATTGCTTATTAGCGGCTAGTAATTGAGGAGGCAGAGGGTGCACATGGGGACATGGGGCTGAATGAGTTCGCCAGTTTTGATCCCATATTCTTCCTCCACCACTCCAACGTGGACAGGGTCTTCTGGGTGTGGCAGAAGAAGTGGGGCCACACTGAACACATACAAGTGGACAAAGATAGTCCATGTCATACATGATTATTTTTCGTTATTTTACACAAGTGTTGGGTATTTTTACCTAATTGTGAGTTTAGCGATAAAAATGAGTGCCTATTATTATGCAAAAGCTGTTTCAATTAAGTGTTCATTCAAATGAAAAACAAAGTTTTGTTAAATCAGTAGTTTAAAATGGGGTGCTTGCGCAGGGATGCACATGTACTAACAGATCGAATTTAATTCTAAAATTACAACGGAGAATATAAAATTATAAGGCGATATCTTCAACAAACACTTTCAAAATTTCCAGAAGAAAACATTATTGATAAGTACAAGTTAGTAAAGTTTAAGGATGTTCATTGGTAGGAAAACGGTATCTTTCAGTGCTCAAAGTGTTTAATTTGGTGTATAGACATTTGTATCCTTCACCAAACTGTCCGAAGTTAAAAAAATTGTACCAGACTTTTGTGTCCCAGATAAAATTACCCGAAATCGCTCTGAAAACTTTTTCTTTTGATCTTGTGATATTTGATGCTTTGTTTTTTTTGCTTTTGTTTGATTGTTCTATATTTGGGTTATGTTCTGATCAAACAACCGTAGAACAGTCAAACCGATACAAAATTTTCAAAAAGAAATAATTGTATTTTCAAAGCGCATTTAGCCGAGCGGTACAGTCATTAGTTACACGATCCACCGATCCGAAGGTCTAGTCTCGAGTAGGACAAAATCTGTCGTGTTTTGCAAAATTTTTGAAATTTAAAAGCCCGAAATTAGGTAAAATAAGGCAAATTTGAAATGAATTGACTCGTTGGGCCAAAAAAGGGGCTGGTAAAAATTGACCATCTTTCCGTTTTCAAAACAGGTCTAGCTTAATTTAAAAAAAGTTGTAGAAATAGTTTAACTAGAAAAATTTGTTGCTTTGCAATTTAAGCTTTGGAGAAGAATTTGATCTAGAATCATCATGTGACACTGCTGCTGCACGCTTTTAACAAGTTTCACATAAAGTGGTTTTTAATAACGAGACAATTTTTGCCTGGCACCCTTTTTGAATGAAATATTTTGGCATTTTGCTATCAAGCATGGAACTTTTCGATGAGTTTTGAAATTATGTGTGTGTGGCGTTCATATTTTTTTAAAAAAAAGACCCATTCCAACTTTCAACAGCATTTTGGCTCTCGTTTTTCCGGTTAGAACACCTTAAGAACAACTCCAGCAGTCAAAGTACAATCTGGGATTTTGTCATGCTCCATTTGCCTCCGAGATTCGACCAATGAAATTATACCAAATTTGTTGAAAATTGGATGGGGTGTCTCTTTGCATGTCTTCTGAAGAGTTTCAAATGCAGTAGAGTTGTTAATTTTTGGCCAGAAAGTGGTACTTGGACATGCTCATGGAAACTTCAGGTCTAACTTATAGGTAATTGTATTGCCAGTAGACTGAATGTGACGCTAGATTCTTTGGCATAATTGAAAGTAGCAGTATTGAATGTGTACTTTTCTGGATTTCAAAGTAAACACATTTTTGACCGTTATATCGAAATCAATGGTGTTCATTGTGAAATTCTATGCCGCAAACGCTCGAAAATTGGGTATAGGTGTCTAGTCGGACTTAATTGAGCGCACGAGAGTCATTGTGATCATTCTAGATTTGCATTAAACTGTCAAGTTTTATGAGTACTGAAGGTAGGTTTATGAGTCTGATTTCTTGAATTGACGTTTTTTTAGAAGGAACATCAGATGAAACAGGACCGTCGCTGCATCAAACACAAGATCAGATTTTGGACATGAACACCCTTCTCTACCCTTTTCTTAAACGAGTTTAGGCAAGTTGTGACGGGGGCAAAGACGGTTTCAACATTGAGACCCAACTAGGCTACACGTACACAATTGGTAGCAATGACCAAGAAGTTTGGCCAAAGCCTAAAATGATGAGGAAAACTACTTTTGAAGCTGATAGTTTCGAAACAGAGATCGAATCGTTAGACGATAAAATAGAAATTCGAACTTTCAATAGCAGACAGTTTTATTTTATAGTAAAAGATATTGACAAAACTGAGCATGAAGGTAGTTTCATGGTCTGTTTACGCGTCAAAACAAAGATGGAATGTGGGTGACATTGGGAAAAGCTGGGGTACTGAATAGAGGTGACCCTAAAAACTGTCCAAACTGTTTGAAATGGCCAATATGGTCGTCTAAAATTCCATTCAATATCAAGACTTTCACTGAATCTTCAGGAGATTTGAAGTTGTATGTGATCACGAAGAATCTTTCGAGTTTAAAAAACAATGTAGCTGAACTTGATTTGGCTCAGACGAATTGGAAACATGAAGTGCTAACCGATGAATGTAGCCTATATAGAGACAAAAATGTTTTATTTTGCGTTTCACCCCCAAGCAGTCGCAACCAAGTAAGAATAAACTAGAAAAGTATTTGAAAACAGTATTTCATTTTTTTTTAAATTAGGAGAACTTTGCAAGTTTGTTGCTTTTCTTGGTGCGTTTCACGCAAATCTGTACTTTTTTTGCTTGAGCATACAGAGTTTGCTTGAGCACCTGGATTGTTTTGAGTTGTCACAATGAGGCATTGCGTGAAACTACATTTTGTTTTCAAGTTTTTTTCTGAAGAAGTCTTGTATTATTTTGTTTTTATCCACACTAAATCAGTTACCTGGTTAGCAATTTTAGCAATTCAGACACAAATTAAATTTTGGTGTGAGTGCAGTATGCCGAGACGTATCAGTAAATTATCATATCAGTAATTCGAATCATGAAACAATTGCGTAACAATTACGTAACAATTGCATGAATGAATTAAATTGAAAGAGTTTTCACGCTAAATGACTGCAAAATTCTTTTTCCTTAGCTGTATAAATTAATTTACAACAATGTTCCTCATTATTCTTGTCAAGTTGAGGGGTCAACTAATAAAAAACGTTCTTAGTTTGAAAACGTTGTTACTTTGAAAAATATATTTTCGTTAACTGAACACAATTTTTTTTTACAGTTTTCGGTTTACTGATCACGATAATTCATTTTCAGTTTACTGATCTAGTCTGCTCGTTTTTTAGTTGCCGGTACATCAGTGTTTACTAATTTTTAGTTTACGTCTTAATTACAAGCTGATTTTGTCTATGGACGGTTTGTTATTTTTTTTACAGTGTAATGAACGTTGTAAAGACTCTTATTTTGGTCTTGGTGATTGTTTATTTTTGAAATTCTTAATTTAAAAAAAAACAATACTGCACTCACACCAAAACTTAATTTGTGTCTGAATTGCTAAAATTGCTAACCAGGTAACTGATTTAGTGTGGATAAAAACAAAATAATACAAGACTTCTTCAGAAAAAAACTTGAAAACAAAATGTAGTTTCACGCAATGGCGCATTGTGACAACTCCAAACAATCCATGTGCTCAAGCAAACTCTGTGTGCTCAAACAAAAAAGTACAGGTTTGCCTGAAACGCACCAAGAAAAGCAACAAACTTGCAAAGTTCTCCTAATTTTAAAAGAATGGAAATATTGTTTTTGGAAGTTTTGAATTTCTCAAAATTATTCACACTCAATTTTGATTTATCTCGGGTTGACTTTGATTTTTTGAGCTTAAATCCTATGCTAAAAGGAAGACATACTCCACTATCCAACAGCAAAATTGTAAAGGTCACAAAAAACGCGATCGACTTCTAGTTTCGATTTTAATGTGCTGACTTCCCAGCGGAATGAAAAACTTAAATTTTGATCCAGTTTTCTGAAATTGGGTTAACTCGACAAAAAGATCCTCAATCTTAAAGAGCTTCGAGGACAAATATTTTGTCTGTAAGACTTTTAAAAAAACAAGCCATTTTTTTCTGTTATTTGCATTCATTACTTCTTTTCCAATTTTTTTTATTGGATTGCTCTGAAACCCCCAAAAAAGTAACGTTTCAATAAATCTTGATCAAATTTTTTTTCTTTGTTTTAAACGTTTCGTGCAATTTCAGCTGTGATTGGATGGATCATTGTTCATTTCAAACAGTGTTTTTTTTTTCAAACAAATAACAATTGTGTTATATAGCGTTTTCAGTTTTTTTCCTACCAAAGTATCAAAATTTGCATTTCAGTTCTCACATTTTAATCGTGAAAACCAGTGCTAATTCTGTCAGATTTCTGGTACCGCATATCATCAACAGCAGTTTTGTTTTCTTCAGAAATCATTCGGAAAATGAGATGATGTAAGCTAATGGCTTTTTTGATTGAAATTAGCCGAGAAGCATCGCTTTGCTGAATTTTTTTTTTAGTTCGACTGTTTTCTACTTGCTTTTTTAGTGGATTTAGATCTGAGTAAAACACTGAGACGATACTCTAACGCATTTGAAAAACTCAAGCTAAGAACTTTTTTAATTTACTTGTTATTTCAATTATCGTAACTTCTTTTATCTATTTGCGTAAACTCCAAATCGTAATTAGGAATGAATTGAAGGTGCCAATTTTTCCGAAAGTTGAATACGAAAACTGAAATTAATTTTCTTTTTTTAATGGAGCTAGTCGCAAAAATGCCAAACTGGTGAGATAAAAGATGGGATCTTTATGTTTACCCATGCTATTTACCTTTTTTGCTTTTTTAAAAATCTCCCCAAGCAACTATCAAACTTGAAAACAAGATTATAATTGTTCCGACCATTGAAAATGGGAGGAACTTCGTGATCGAATGTGTTTTAATTTTTTTGTTTGTTCTCACAAACTTATGTACCATAAAAAGTCATCGAATTGAGTCCAATGACAAGTTTTTGAAGCCTTTCAATTGTGATCTGATTGACATCAAAAAATTTTGAAAAAATAACTCAGAGTATAGAAAAACCCATTCAAAATAATTGATTTACGGTCTTATTTCGAGCTTCTTAAGTTAGCGAATTGGCTCTTTTCGTTTTCCATCAAAAATTATTTACTGAAAATAATTATCTGAATGTGTGGAGAGGCGTGTTATGTAAAAGCCCTGTCAATCTTGATTTGAATTACTTTTTAAAATTTTCAAAATTGTGTCCCATTTTCGAGAAAAACTTATATGGAA